AAACAATTGTAACCAGTCAAGACTTTCTAAATCGTTTTTCTTATGACGTGTAACGAATGAAAGAACGATAATGATGGAAGAAAAATGAGTTGCTTGAGAGATATTTGTATTGATGCCATTCTCCTAAGTCGAATTTTTTTTTTTCATGTGCGTGAAGTACTTGAGTATCTTGAACAAAACAGTCATGTGATATGAAAACATCGTAAAGCAAGATTTGAAACCTTCTAGTGACCTCAAGCCCTTGACCTTCTTGTTCCATCAGTTAATATTCTTAGTTATACACTTGAATTTTGCTCAAGCGTTAGTGTTTGTTTGTTCAAGAGAATGTAATGTGCTTGAATGTTAGAAAAGTTTTTTTCTAATGGTTTAGTCATTCCCTCGATGTAAATGTTAGTAGCTGTCAACTAGTTAACGTTGATAGTGCATAAGCAAGCACCAAAATGAAAATGTGTAGTTGTCGGTTTTGAGTAGGAGAAGAAGAACTAACACACATTCACACCCTCAAGATTACAATCAGCTCTAACATGTACAAATGATATTTGAGTAATTCGATATTTACTGGAAATTCATTTTATTCGTCAAATAACTATTAGGGTGTGGGTGTGTGTGTGGGTGGGAGTATGATTCTTCTATTTATCTACATCCACACCCACACTCAAACACCCATACCAACATCCACCCACGCCCACCCACACCCACACTCACCCACACCCACACTCACCCACACCCACACCCAACACCAGAGATGTCCATGGCGGCGGCGCCACCGCCACGGCGTTAGCGTCGCAGCGGCGGCAGCTTTTTTTGAAAAATCGTCGCGGTGTATCAGCGGCGCGGCAGAGTTTTCTAAAATGCTGTTGCAGCGCATCAGCGGTGCGGGAGAGATTTTTGCCATGTCGTCGCGGTAGCGCCGCGTCGGCGGCAGTTTTTTTATGAAGAATTTTTAAAAATTCATAAATCTTCGTAGAATCTTCACGTTCATGTATGCTATAGTGTAAGACTGATTGATTAGCAGCAGCAGTTCCAGTTGAGATCAGTCACAGCCTTGAAAATTAAAACATTTTTATAAATAACGTCGCGGCGGCGGCAAGCTATTTTTATAGCGCGTTGCGGTACATCGTTTCTATAGTTTGCCGCGTCGCGGCAGCAGTGCGTTAGCTTTTCTCTACAGTTCGTCGCGTCGCGGCAGCGCCGCCATAGCTTTTTCTAAAATTTGACGCGTCACGGCAGCGGCAGATTCTCCGCCGTGATGGATATCTCTGCCCCACACCCTTCCTAAAAAAGATCTGGATCTCTATACCTTATATGCCCAAAAAGATTTTAATCGTTACCTCAGACCGTTTTCAGCAATGATACGTCTAACTACATTGATTATCAGAACCGAAAATTTTTGTTTTTCAAAAAAATGGTAGCAATTCGGCGGATTCACCTATTAGAATTTTGTTTATGAAATATGAAAAGAAATGAATTTATTCTCAGAGCTCTCGATGAGTTTTACAAGTAGGATAGGCCAAAATTTGGTAGACAGTGATAGGAAAAAAAGTGTCTGCCAAATTTTAGGCCTCCTCATTCTTGAAAATCATGGAGGGACCTTGTTGGGCGCTAGAATACGCCAACCCCTCCCGCATCGTGAGTCATGATTGTTCTAGTTGATAATATGTGGTTTAAAAAGATGGAACTAAAGTTGAACAACAAGGACGTGTCGAATAAAAATGAGAATGTACTGTTCAAATGAAAACTAATCAAAAGAATAATACTAAATCTCACATTACAATCATTTAGAGTGATAAATAAAGTATTAAACTTATTTTATGTAATTGAATACATCAACGATAGAACTTAATCTTGAAGAATACTATTTATTCAAATTGTCTATACGATATAGAAAAGCAGAAAAACAACAATGGTTGACAGTTTTTAATTTATGTACTTTCTGAAAAGGTTAAAAAGTAATGCTGGATAAAACCGTAGGTTTATACTACATTGCGAGGAAAAAAGACACTTTTTCGATTTTGTTAGTCTAGTTATCAAAGATGTTCACAGAGTGATATTTTCACACCTTACTCTGTCTTGTCCAGTGGCGGCGGAGCCTGTAGTCCCGGTGAGTATTGAGCCTCACTTGAGGGTATAGGTGTCGTTGAGTGGATGTTGGTGGGGCTGTGGCGATGGGAGTGTGGATGCGGATGTGATACTCTTCAATGACACACCCACACCCTCTGCAACTTTGTATAGGAAAATGTCTTTGAAATTTCGAACTGCAATTAGGCAGCTATTCTAAGAGATTGATAACACGCGATAAAGTCTTCTTACAATGTATAAAAAAAATAAAATCATACTTATTAAAAATTACATATAACGGTATTTTTTAACTCTTAGAAAATGACTCCTGAAAATTGAATGGAACAATTCACTCATTGACGACTCTCAAAATTAGAGTATCAGGGTTCTTAAGTGATCAATAATGAATTTTGTAAAGCTCTTCTCTTTATTTCAATTATGACGTTTTATTTTTCATATAATTATTGTTTAGTATGAAATGAAAGTTTCCAAATAATTTTCATATAAACTTAATATTTGCGTCGAATATACTTCAAGATTTATAAAATGAATTATAAATTTGAACAGAGATCTTCCTCTATCAATGATTTAGTTATAGCAAATACGTTCACAAAGCAAAAAATCGAAGAGATGTTCGATGTGCTTAAATATGATCCATGACAGGCGATTAACTCACGAAACATTGAAACGAAAATAAAATTAATCTGTGAAGGTTTTATCAAAAGAATATCAGCTACATAACGGATACAGTTCAACATGGTATACTGTACGTTGAAGACTCTTATTCATTGGAATTCATTCCAGGAAAAAAAATTCTTCTTTGAACCATAAAGACATAAGTATTGATTAGTAAAAGTTAAAAGGAGAAACCATAAACAACGATATACAAACAGATAGAAATAACATTATTTGCTGTTTGTAAGCAATAAAGTATATTACTCTTTTATTGAACATTGAAAAGACAATAACAAGCTCATCATGGAAAAAAGTAGAGAGCGAATGTGTTTTAATAAATATTGAAATAAAATACTAATATATGCAATTGACATTGATGTTAACAACATATTGACATTTGTAACTATATCTATTGTGAGAGACTTTGTCCAAGAAACATGTTCAATTGACATTGTCAGTTTCAAAGAATTTTTATTCTTCCATTAGGTTTTTTCTACAGCACAACTTTACGAATAGCATTGAGCAACATACATGGATAGAGAGAGAATGTTGTTTTATCGTACGATAGACAAATTGTAATCTTCACTGAAGTTCTAAACGACATTCACTTATAATAAATACAAAATAAATTCGTTATTGATTAGTTTCAATCAAAATTCTTTTGATATTTTAGATACATGAAAAATAAATTTTGATTTGTAAAGACCAAAATTATTAACAGTATACAGAAGAGTACCATATTTGACTACATTTTACAAATTAGGCTTCTTCTTTCATAATTAATTGAAATTCTGTGATTGATATGAACCTAAAATCATTTAAATCTTCTATGATAACTTTAAAATTATTTATTTTAACATATCTTATCAAAAGAAAGGTAAGAGAGCGAATTGTAGTGATCACAATGAGTCATAAATAGTATAACATATTCATTTTAATAATTATTAGTTTTCAAAGAGTAATCAACATCTTACTGCGGAAAAATGTATCAAAGGTTTGAATATTTTAAAATACGTCGAATAAATGAATAAAGTAAAAAATAATTATAGGTCTATAAGCTCTGAAGTCTATAGTGACGACAGGTATTCTAGTAAATATTAAAAAAAATACAATGGATTATGGGATCATATCACAACGAAGGTATCATGCAGAGAAACTAGTTTCAGTTTTCAAAATAAACTCTTTTAGTTACCACTCGATTCACATACTAGTATGTGATATAAACTCAAAATGGTCCATTTGGTGGAAAGCAAACAGATAAAATGAACCAATAAATATGAATTAGAAAGAAGAATGGGAAAGGGAAAGATAAATGACATTAACTCATATCTTCAATTTTCTCTTTCTTCATACGAGTAGATTAAGAACTCTTTGAATACAGAAGCAGTCATATATTATTCTCTTTTTATTATTAGTTACATTGAAAAACCTGTCAATAGAAAAAGAAAGAGAGATGACATCAAAAAATATTTTCCTTATACAACTGGTTGTTGCATCGGTCATTGGTGGAATTTTGAGTAAGTATTCAGGAAATTTTTGATTCTTGTTATCGAATTTGATTTTATCAGTAAGAGGATCATTATTGCTAAACTTTCGTATTATTGATGAATTTCGATTCTAATTCTTTTGTATTTCACAGTGGTTGAGTCAAGCATATTTTTGGATGCACTCATCAGTACAAGACTGTCGGAGTGGCTCTTGTATATTTTGAAGAAAGATAGGAAAAGAAGAAGTCATTTTCAAGACTTACAGTATTCAGTGAGAAGCATTTGTACTGAGAAATCTCTCTGAAACTGCATTATTATTGAAATAATGTGATTCTATTTGTAAAGAAAACATAGCACTTTAACTTTTTTAAAGATAGGTCAGGATTGTATTAATCTTAACTTTTCATTTAGTATTAAAGTATAAACGGTTTGAAGGTAGGTTTGTAATTGATTGAATCATATATTTAGCTGGCTTGGTTAGACTTTTTCTAACTATTGAATTGAATAATCAAACAAATGAATAGAGTAGTCTTTGTAGATTGGAATTTTTTTTCTTCTATATAGTGTCAAACAGTCGACCAAAAATTTGTCCGAATGCAACATGGAGTTTGCACGGAATCACTGTCTTGAACAAGACCTATATACTCAGTTCAACTCCAGGTATTTTTATCGATTCTAACGATACTCTCTATGTGGCTGTTTATGACAAGAAGAAAATCTTAATATTGCACAACGAAAAAATGAATCCAACATATTCCTCGATGATTAATCCATTTTATCGAACTAGTCTTTTTGTTGACAACTATGGTTACATTTATTTTGAGATTGATCAAGATAAAGGGAATATCATAAAGTGGCATAACGAATCAACGAAAATCGATCCTGTGGCAAAATTTCCAGGAAACTGTTACGGATTGTTCATTGACCATAACAGAACTTTATACTGTTCTAGTCATGACCAAAAAAAAGTTTATAAGCTACCATTTAACACAACTAACTATGTACTAGTGGCCGAATACGGAAACAACTGCAAAGACGACATTTCATATAAGCTTTCTGAACCCTGGGGCATATTTCTCGATACTAATTTTGACTTGTATGTAGCTGACAGAGGAACTAACACAATTCAACGTTTTCAACCAGAACAAACTACAGGAAGACCAGTGGCAGGATGTGGAAATTCAAAATATCTACCATTAAAGTTTCCTACAGATATCGTGCTAGATGCCGATGGCTATTTATACATTGCTGACAGCGGAAATCATCGAATTATTCGCTCAAAGAACAATAGCTACCAGTGCATAGCTGGTTGCAAGAACAAATCAGGGCAGAGTTCCGACGAATTAAATACAGCATATGCTCTTCGTTTCGACAGCTATGGCAATCTATTTGTTGCTGATGAAAACAATTATCGGATACAAAAGTTTACTTTAGAACGAAAGTCCTGTGGTAATTATCATCAATAATTATAGATAAAAGAGAAGATCTTATAATACCAATATCAATTTGATCTATCTTTAATAAACACATTTGAAGTGAAGGAATTATGAAGGTTCCAATAGTGTAAAAATATTATTGTTGTCTTCGGTTATTTAAATTCCAAATCTTTATAGTAGAACTTGATTGTCAACGTATGATTGGATTCGAATAACGTGCGTATCTCGAAAAAGATATATGCATGAGAGAGTATGATGTCTATTATTTTTCGACTAAATAAAATTATTAACAATACTAAGATGAGTAGTACCATTAGATTTAACAAATTGAACCTTCTGTAGTTTATTTTGAGAAGTTATTCAAGAATAAATTAATCATCCTGTTTTTAATATAGCAACAACAGAAACATCTACACCTACAACAACATTAGAAACAGCTACTAGAACAGCATTTACAACGACATCTGAAACAATTACTACAACTACATTTATAAATACATCTACATCGCCAAAAACATCTACAGCAACATCTATATCACCAAAGACATCTGCAGCAACAATATTTACAACAACATCTATAAAAATAACAATGATTTCAAGTGCAATAGCTATAAAACCTGAATATACAACGAGGACTTCGTCGACTAGTTATCCGCAAGGTAAGCATTGAAGGAAAATTTATATATCTTAAATTTGTAAGCAATATTTTTTATAAATGGAGTCTTATTAGTCGAATGCTTTATTTTTTCAATTGGTATTTAAAGACACAAATGGAGCCTTCTAAAAAACAGCTTACTTTTTATCAAATAATAGATATGAAAATAGTTTCTTTATCAAGCAAATAAGCGTATGAGATGGTTTAATTGCAAAGCCACACCCATACATATAGTTTGCAATTTACTTCTAGTACTAGTTATGGCTTTTTTTAGTTTATAAGCAAAATTAACAATTTTGCTTTGAAGTCTTAGTTTTCTAAGATAAAGGAAAGAGTTATAGGGAGAATATTTTGACTGTAAAACTGTTTTGGTATGAAGATTAGAAATTGATAGCTCAAAAGAATAACAATGTTCAATTCAATTATTAACGTAAATTTCTTTTGTTCGAGGAAAAATTATTCATTAAAATTAATTTATATTTTTTGTGTTCGAGGGATTAAAGGAGATTTTGATTCAATTATTAAGTATTTTCAATTATTCTATATTGCAATGATCGACTCATTTTTTAATGTTAAAAATAAAATATAAGTACACGTTTCTATATTTTCTTGTTACAATGTAGAACAATTTTTGATGTAAATTATATAAAAAGACCAAAAATATTAATGGAAACTATAATAGTGATAGCTTATTTGCGCTAGGCAAGTTAATAATCCTACTATTAGCTATGGTATTGATTTATATATGAACATATGTTGATTTTCATGAAGTATCAGTTGTTGGTGTTACATTTGTTTTTTATGAAGCGTTACTATTTTGATATGATTATTAAGTAAAGAGAAATTTTTCAGTTTTAATAAAAAGAGACCATTTTTTGCAAATAATTACTTCTGTGTCTAATATTGACTATGAATCACTTGAAGACCATGCTTTAAACACACCAAAATTTTGGCATTTACTCATAAAAATCATTGCGTTCGACTTCACTGTGCTTGATATTTGCATATTTTATCTTTATTTTTTTGTTTAGCCCTTTGATAGAAGAAACTAAAATAATATGTTTATTAACGATAAGTTAAAAAACAGTTAAAAACACATTAGTATAGAGGACATGAACTCCACCATAGAGACCGCAATCCAGCGGCTTCTGTGCCGGTCGCAAGTCCGGATAAAGGAGGAGCGTTGGACGGGAGGGGTGCAGATACCACCGTCTGTAAAATGAACAAGACGACAGAAACCAACCATGAACGACTTCAACACGAAACCATACCGGCTCGGACGGCGCCCGGGAAAACAAGGTCCGCGTCCTCTGTCGAGTGACCAGGGCAGAGTCGAAAAATTGGCGACTGGAAAGAATTCATATACGACAAAAAACACGCAAAAACTAAAACTTGCCAAAAATACTCTGACAGTAGGAACATGGAATGTGCAGACACTATGGACTGCTGGCAAGCTAGAATTACTTAGAAATGAAATGAAACGTTTCAAATACGACATAATTGGTATTTCAGAAGTGCGATGGACAGGAAAAGGTGAAACACCGAATGGAGATTTCATCTGGTCAGGAGAAGAATCCTCACATATGAGGGGTGTGGGGTTCTTACTAAGCACACAAGCAAAAAAGGCATTAATAGGATACAATCCAACCAGCTCACGAATAATTTCGGCACGATTCGATGCAGCACCATTTAAAATTTCAGTAATACACGTATATGCACCAACCTCCTCATCTTCAGAAGAAGATATTGAAACATTCTATAACGATATTGAGGAAACATTAACAAAGACAGATAAAAAGGATATACTTATCCTGACAGGAGATTGGAACGCTAAAATTGGTAATGATAATACAGATTGGAAATCCGTGATGGGAAAATATGGTTATGGCGATAGAAACGAACGCGGAGAACGCCTCCTAGAATTTGCGACAGTGCACGATCTCTACATATGTAATACAAAATTTGAACATAAACCAAATCGAAAATGGACCTGGGCATCACCAGATGGCATTCACAAGAATATGATTGACTTGATTCTCATCCAGCGAAGATGGAAGACTTCAGTCACCAACTGTCGAACATTTCAGAGTGCAGACATAGACTCAGATCACTCACTAGTGTTGTGCAATATCAACTTGAAACTTAAAAAACCGCACAACAAACCACAGAAATGCTGTAGAGTTGATGCGAACCGACTGAGAGATGAGAAAATAAAGCAATCATACAGCGCTGCTCTAGCGAAACAAATGAAAGATATAGAGCCAACATGTAGTCTGGAAGAACATGCCAAAAAAATAGAACAGGCAATCAAAATTACAGTAGAGGCAACTGTACCTGCAAAAAGAATAACCAAAAAGCCATGGATTTCTGAAGAGACATTAAAACTAGCTGACGAAAAACGCAGACTAAAACAACTAAGAAACGTTTCCCTAGAATATACACAACAATATAAAGGCCTATGTAGGAAAGTTAAGAGATCAGCAAGACAGGACAAAGAACATTGGATACAAGACCAATGCGAGCAAGCTGAAAAAGGTCTAAATATTGGAAATACAAGAGAAGCATATGGCCTCATAAAAATGTTAAGAAAAGAATTTGTACCTCGATTAAATGTCATACGAAATCAAGAGGGAACAATGTTACAGACAAATGACGACATCAAACGAAGGTGGACACAGTATTGCAGCAGTCTGTATAAAGATCCTGGAGGCGGAGACGGGATGGTAAAAGAACTTGAAGACATTGCACCTCCAGGAAACGAAGATCCTCAGGATATCTTGTACTCAGAGGTACAAGCAGCGATAAATTCATTGAAAAGAAATAAAAGTCCAGGATCAGACGGCATAACAGCGGAAATGCTACAAGCTGGGGGCGAACCGCTATCACGACAAATCCACAAACTCTGTAACAAAGCATGGCATGAAGGTACGATTCCAGAAGAATGGGGCAAATCTATATTGGTACCTATACCAAAAAAAGGTGACCTCAGTAATTGCTCAAACTACCGAACGATCTCTCTTATTAATCATACAGGAAAAGTACTCCTAATAGTACTGCTAAATAGATTAAAAAATCATCTGGATCCGTACCTCTCAGAAGAACAGGCAGGGTTCAGAAAAGACAGGAGTACCGTACATCAAATATTAACGCTCAGACTATTGGCTGAAAAGGCAAAAAGACAGGGCAAGAAAATATACAACTGCTTTATAGATTTTCAAAAAGCATTCGATACGATCAAACATAAAATTATTTGGGCTATGCTAAAATCCTATGGTGTCGACACAAAGATGGTCACTCTGCTACAGAAGATCTACGAAAAGTCACAGTCAGCTGTTCGCATTGGTAAAGATAATGGAGAGTGGTTTCGAACAGATGTAGGAGCTAGACAAGGCGACCCTCTGTCACCACTCCTCTTCATCGCATATCTTGAGCGAGTAATGGACCAGGTGAGACAGAACACCTGTGGAATCAATATTAGCGGCATACTAATAAATAACCTGAGATTCGCCGACGATATTGACCTTATCGATGAAGACGTTAGCTCACTTCAACGCCAAATAGAGCTAACTAAAACAGCTGCTGAACAAGCTGGACTAATCTTAAATATAAATAAGACCAAAACCATGGTATTTGGAGACAGGAATATCGATAATAGTATCCAAGTAGCAGGAAACACCGTAGAAAACGTGGAAAAATTTGAATATCTAGGCAGTCTGCTGACATGGGATAATAACTGTTCAGAGGAAATAAAAAGGAGAATAGGAAAAGCGACAGGTGCAATGGCTTCTTTAAGACACATATGGAATAGCAAGAAACTGAAGCTAGAAAATAAACTTAGAATCCTAACCACATGTGTGTTCAGTGTCCTATTATACGCATCAGAGACATGGACCCTAAAAGAAGCAGACAGGAAAAAACTATTGGCATTCGAAATGAAATGTTACCGACGGGTTCTAAGAATTAATTGGCAAGATATGGTACGAAACGATGATATCAGGATAAAGATATCAAAGGAAGAGACCATAATAGACATCATCAAGAAGAGGAAACTAAGGTTATTTGGCCACATCTGCAGAATGGACGATTGCAGACTAATAAAACATCTAATATTTGGTAAAATGGACGGAAAATCTCGAAGGGGACGTCCATGCAGAGAATGGCTAGATGACATAACAGAATGGTGTCAGCGCAGTGGACATGACCTGTTCCACCTTGCGCAAGATCGGCGGGCATGGAAAAATCTGATCCCGTAAATGGTTGGCCCCAACGGGCGCTAAGCCTAAGGGACATGATGATGATGATAGAGGACATGAGAGGTCAAAGCGGTTCACAAGTAATTTTCTTGATTAATGTCATTGAATAATATATCAACTGCAGTCAAAA